CCTGATTTTTAGCAGCTTGCAATGCCTTTAGTTGCCATAAGCTCAGCACTAGAATTTAGATCCGATTAGAGCTACTCCTACATCTGAATAAGCTTCAACAAGTCTGTAGATATCTTCAAGCTCTGCTCCTTAAACAGACCATGCTCCAGTCCCTGTTCACACTGTAGATGAGGGCAAGAAGAGAGACTGTTTCGTGTACAGCACCAGGTTTGCTGAGAGATGACAAATGTCAGGCAGGGTGTTTTCTCCAACAAAACCCCTGGAAATGATGCAAAGTCATCTCCTAGGTAGGTATTAGGGGGACAGGAGCTGGCATAGTGGAGAGGGTGCTAGAGATGGACAATGGCAACATCTCCTTCCCTGTGAGAGGACTCTCTGGCCTGCCCCATGTTCCTCCCTTCTCTTTTGGGTCAGGAGAAGTGAAAGGATTTTTCTGCAGGGATTCACTGCCTCTATAACAGGGTGCAGAGGCCTATCAGCAAATTCAGAAATCTTACACACTTATAAGATCTCTCCCCACCACCCACTACACTTTATAGTGTATTTTCTCTCCTCCTTTCCCCTGCCTACGCTATACATAGCTCAATCTTTCCTGCCGTACCCAAAACAACTCTCCCCAGACCCAAGGGCATGCTGCGGTGAAAGGGCAGGAAGGGAGGGTGCCTGAACCTCATTCGACTTTGGCTTGCGGTCTAACGTCTGCTGTTCTTTTCCACACGCTTCTCCTCCTCCCTGCCATGTGTCACGCCAGCCCTGCTCCCCCCACCCCCTGTTTTGTGCTCCACTTTCCAGAGGAAGCGGTTTCTGTGGTAGGGTATAGGGGACCATCAAAAGGTGACCCAGATCTCGATGATGGCGTCATGGAACTGGTGGTGCATCCTCTTCCTGCCCCACCTGGGCCATGAGACTCCTCCCACATCCTGTCCTACCATGTTATTTCCTGCCTTTGCTTTGCACTGTGGTTTTTCTTTCTTGAAATAAACAAGAAAGTGCAAAATGGTGATGGGGGGCACATGGTGGTGGTGGGAGATTGAAAGCCAAATGTCTGAAAGTATCTTTGAACTAGACCTACAAATTCATTGTTTTGGAGATCACATGCTAAAAGTCACTTTAATTAAAACATTTTACTTTAGTTGTACACTCATCTCCTCACTCAGCAAATCTTATCACAGGGGTCATTTAACAGGGAAGAGAAAATACTGAGATGTAGAACCAGAGGCAGCACACTGTCCTCCTTGACCATACAGCTAGGAGTGGGTTTGGAGTATAACACACAAGATTTAAGATGCAAATTAATTTTTAAAACTGATGCTAAACGTAAATGAGTGTAGAAACTTTTCTTCCAAATCCCTGAAAGTTTCTGCAATGAGGTTAATTGGTTGGAAATCTGTGAAATGGAATGACTGGTCTTGCTTCGTAATTCAAATATGGTTTAGGTAGCTTCATCAAGCTGTTTCCCTGTGAAGCGGCAGACCTCATCATGAGCAAAATGTACGCTTCAAGAGCTGCCTGGAATGTAATCTAGCAGTTGAAGAGCCGTGGACTATTTGCAGCTGGAGAGACATTAGAGTGACTGTTGTGCCAAGGGAGAGACAAGAGAATGAGTCCCTGTCCTGGTTCTGGCTAGGATAGAGTTAATTCTCCCAAGGAGCCAGGACAGGTGAGCCAAGCTGGCCAGGGGCTATTGCATACCGTGTGATGTCATGGTCACCATAAAAGGGGGCTAGTTGGGGAGGGGCGGGTTTGGAGAACATGGGCTGAGCGTCTGGTTGGTCGGTCATGGGATCGGTAAATTGCTTTCTGTTATCACCCATTGTTACTGTCTGTTATTAGTACTGTTGTTCATTGTTTCCCTCTCCCTTGCTGTCCCAGTAAACTGTCCTTATTGCAACCCACGAGGTTTTGCCTTTCTCTCCCCATTCTCCTCCCCATCACACCGGAGAGGGGTGAGTGAGCAGCCACATGGTGCTCAGCTGGGGCTGGGGCTAAACCACAACAGTCCATGAAGATCTGTACTATAAAATAATCAGGGTAATAAACCTGGAAAGTTTGAAGTTGTTCCTTGGCAGGAGGGATCAGTAACTCTCTGTCACCCTGTGGCAGGCCACCTGCTAATGGTCAGGTGGCAGCACCGTGGCAGGAGACCAGGGAGAATTTATTGTGCTACTGCTGCGCCCTGTGGAGTCAGATCCTGTGGCAGGGATGCTGGCATGGTCTTCACACGGGGACCCTCTCCCACATGAAGCACCAGGGCTTTGGCTAAAAGCATTTGAGGCATGAGCCTTTCCAAACTCAAGAGTTCCTTGCAATGGCTGTGGATCTGGCAGGGTGAGAAATAGCCCGCGAGAAGGAATCACCCCCACCAGTCTAGGGAGGCTTTCCCTGCCACTCAGTTTGGGCACTGGTATGAGGTACGAGCAAGGTACGAGCAAGGTACGAGCAAGGTTCGAGCTTTGCAGGGACAGTGCTTTTCTTTCAGAGCACCCTTCTCATTTCTTCTTCCAGAGGAATCTCTGGTGCTTCAGAGGAAGATGGAGAAACCACTGACACAAAAGGAGAAACTTTCCAGTCTTGCCAGTGACAGACAGAACCTGGACACGCAGGCCGTTCGCTTGGTGTCATTAATGCAAAGCAGATGCCTTGTTCTCCAGTGACACTTGGGAGCGGGGGACATTTAAAGGCAGGACACCCCAGGCTCCTGTGTTCCCCACAGCAGTAGACATCTGCCTTCAAGGCCTGGACCACCTACTAGTCCTCTCACTGTGGGCAAACCATATTTCACCATTGTCTTCACAGAGCACAGAGTCTCCTCTTGGAGGAGAGATGCTCTCCTCCGCTCCCCTACCTCTGAGCCAGCCACGCTGTCCTCACCCAGACACAGCAAGGATGCCCTGGAAGGGTGCTGTGTCACTGTTCTCCCCCCTGCCCCGGTGGGTCCAGCCAGTTATTGCAAACAGCACCTGGTGGTCACGTCAGGGTGAGGAGTCCAGACATCCCTTCCCTCCTCCACCCCAAAGGCCAGGCTCATGCCTAAAGCTCATCTGAAGGGTAAAACAAGTTCCTCAAACTACAGATACAAAAGGCAAACAAATTTCTTATTTTTGATAAGAATTGTTTAATAGCAGCCAAAGACCTAAAGAAATGCCAGGACATCAGGGTGGCTGCCTGTACAATTCAAGAATTAACAGCATGCAAGTTTCACTTGCATGCACTGTTTCCAAGGGCTGCACACATGGACAGGTAAATATTTCAGTCTAGTTTTATGCAATGATTATAAAAAGAAATTGGGAAATCTAAGATTGTTAGAACTGAACAAAAAGAGCAAAAGTAGTTCTTATTTTAACTAAAAGCAAAGCCAAATCTTAAGCTGTTTTAAATTCAGAAAATGTTAAGGCCAGATAGACTTTAAAAAATAGGGAAAAACATTTTTTTCTTCTGTGATAATGAAGTGAGAATTTCACTGAAGGACTTCTAGGAAACCTAGCAGCATATCTTTTAGGGAATAAAAAAGATACCTTGCTCTGATCTAGCAAAAGATAGCGGGACATGGTGCATAGCACCTTGAATAAGATTCCCTTTGCTTTTCAGCAAATATTTGGCAATTTGTAGTTACAGCAAACTGTGCTTCATGCAAAAAGAAAGAGGCATTGTCATGCTAAATGAATCGGGCATGTGGGGGAGTAGAATGCTAAGAATTTTTAGTAGCTTTATAACAATGCAAACGAAGCAATTTATTCTATAATGGCCAGTGAGATACATAGAAACAGCAAGTAATATCCCTTGCAGCAGG